CCTCTGGGCTGGGCTCTGACATTGTCACTGTCATCCCTGTTGGCAGCTGAAGCAAGAAGCCTTCCTAGATTCATGGTATGTGGCTAGAAAACATATGAGTTTGGGTCAGCAAGTTGGCTCAGCAGATAAAGGTGCTTGATGACCAAGCCTGGTGACCTGCGATCAATCCCCGGAACCCACAGGTGGAAGGAGAGAACCTGCTCCTGGGATTCCCTCTGACCCCCACACAGGCACTGTGGCACACACAGCCCCTCCTGATAAATAATAAATAATATATTAAATACATGCTAATGTATAAATGAATTTCCTCTCTGTCTGAGGCCCAGGGACCATAGTGGCTCAGCAGCAATGAACACACTATGCTTTCTAAATTTACTGTCCAAGACTTTGAAAAGAGCCACAGTCCTCAACTGAGTCTCTACCTGGGCAGGACTTGAACCTGGAGCATCTTGTAGCATGAGCCCCGAGGGAATGCTGTGTGTGGGACAGTACGAACCCCAGAGAGCTCATGGCCAGGGGCTCTCCTACAGACCATGGCTGACCTTGAATCAGATGTGGCCAAGAACAGCCTTGAATTCCTTGTCCCCTCCTCCTCTGAATGTTGGGGTTTCGGGCACCATTCCCGCTGCTTATGCAGTATGGGGGTCCAGCTCAGGGTCACATCAATGCTGGCAGGTGCTCCATTGACTAAGTTATGTACCTCCCCAGTCCCAACTCTGCCCCCCCTTTGTTTTCCCTGGACATAAGGGTTTCACTATGTAGCTCAGGCTAGCCTCCTCGGCTGCCATCCTCCTGACTGAGCCCCTCACCCTTCCAAGGGACTGCTGGGATTATAGGTGTGCACCGCCGCACGCAGCTAGCTAGAACAAGGCAAATGAAAGTAAACACTGTGATGAAGAGTCCACGGTGACAGACAGGACAGGCTGACAGGATGAACGAGGTGCAGGGTGGACCTGCATGGTGGAAGAACACAAATGACACATGGAGACACCTGATCCAGGATGGGCTTTGGGTCCAGGTCAATGCTATAGGTCTTGCCAGGCTTGTGTGGGGCTCTGGGTTCCATCCGAAGTCCTAGAAATAAAAGAAGGGAGGGAGGGAAGGACAAACATTTCTTTTCTTTTTTATAAATATTTTTTAATAGAAATAAAAGAAGGGAGGGAGGGAAGGACAAACATTTCTTTTCTTTTTATAAATATTTTTTAAAGATTTCACCGGGCCTTGGTGGCGCACGCCTTTAATCCCAGCACTCGGGAGGGAGGCAGAGGCAGGTGGATCTCTCTGAGTTCGAGACCAGTCTGGTCTACAAGAGCGAGTTCCAGGACAGCCTCCAAAGCCACAGAGAAACCCTATCTCGAAAAACAAAACAAAACAAAATATTTTATTTGTTTATTATGTATACAACATTCTGCTTCCGTGTATATCTGCACACCAGAAGGGGGCAGTAGATCTCATAACGGATCATGTGGTTGCTGGGAATTGAACTCATCCAAAGCCACAGAGAAACCCTATCTCGAAAAACAAAACAAAACAAAATATTTTATTTGTTTATTATGTATACAACATTCTGCTTCCGTGTATATCTGCACACCAGAAGGGGGCAGTAGATCTCATAACGGATCATGTGGTTGCTGGGAATTGAACTCAGGACCTCTGGAAGAGCAGTCAGTGCTTTTTGTTTGTTTGTTTTTTTGAGACAGGGTTTCTCTGTGTAGCTTTGGAGCCTATCCTGGCACTTGCTCTGGAGACCAGGCTGGCCTCGAACTCACAGAGATCCACCTGCCTCTGCCTCCCGAGTGCTGGGATTAAAGGTGTGCACCACCATTGCCCTGCCCAGCCAGTGCTCTTAACCTCTGAGCCATCTCTCTAGTCCGAGACAAACATTTCTAGCATCTTCCCCCAAAATGGTTTTTGATCGTGGGGTGTGACGGCCTATGTCTGTTATCTGAGCACTCAGGAGGTGGAGGCAGGAGGATTAGGCTACATTGAGACTCCCTCTAAAACTTCTTTTTTAAATCAACATCATCTGGGCTTGGAGGCTCATCTCTGTCGTGACACCACTTGGGAAGGGAAGAAGAGGTTTGAGGATTGCCTTGAGTTTGAGGCTAGCCTGAGCTACAATGCTAAAAAAGAGGAGGAGGGGAGAAAGAAAAAAAAAACAACCCCCTCCCCATGGTGAGCCATGTGGCCATCATGTGCCCCCTGACTTCACGAGCTGAGGACTCTGTTTACCTCTGTGGTGTTCTTGCCCCAAGCCACAGCAACTCCTGCTTCGTCATCAGACACACCCAAATTGCAGGGTCGTCTACAAAATGCCGACCAGAATGCCTCAAAATTGCCCAGGTCAGGAAAAAGAAAAAAGGGAAAACTGAGAAGCCAAGTCCGACCGACAGCAAAGTGAGAGGGTGGACAGGGATGGCACATGTGGCCAACACACCCGGGATGCCTGTGCCAGGCAACTTGAAGTCACACAGGCTCAGTGCAAAGGAGGGAAGCCCACCTGGGCTTCTGGGCAGGTCCAGAAACTTAAACTCGATACAGCTCTGGGGCAAATGGTGCAGCAGCTCGGTTGGGAGGGTTTCCCTCTTGCACAAAGCTGTGTCCACCCCCAGGACCGCATGAACCTGCCGTGGTGGCACATGTCTGTACTGGGGGGTGGAGGCAGGAGGATTAGGAGTTCAAGCTCATCCTGGGCTATGTAGGGAGTTTGAGCTGGAGACCTTGCCTGAGCAAGGAGCATTAAGGAGATGTAGGCAAGAGGAAGCAAGACTCCTTCCTGTTCAGGGTCATCCTTGGTTACACTGTGAGTTTGAGCTAGCCTGGACTACCTGGCCCTGTCTAAAAACACTAATGAAACCAAAGAGACTGGGGTGTGGGCTTGGAGGTAGAGTGTATCCTTTGGAAATGGGTCAAGCAGGAGGAGGAAGAAAGAGACTATCCCACACCACCCTAGAGGCCTGCTCAGCATCCCTCCCTGGCTACCCAGCGCTAGGGCCACTAGCCTCTTCTGTTCCTCCCCTTTTTGGGGGGAGCAGAGTCTCACTACGTAGCTCTGGCTGTCCCGGAACTCACAGAAATCCACCTGATCCTGTCTCTCTAGTGCTGGGGTTACAGGTGTGCACCACCATGTCTGGGGCCCCTCGCATTCTAAGCCCTGAAGGGCCTGAACCCCAACTGTTCACAGTCAATTCCCTGAGGTGTTCCACCCTCTGGGTCAGCAGGGGTGGCCAGCAGCTGGTTATACTCAGAGACCCATGGGACACCAGGGCAAGCCCTGTGTTGCTTGGTTCTCAGAACTGTGCACATGGCCTAGAGCTAGGGTTTGCATCTGAGTGTTCCCGGAGGCCAAGGTACTGAAGGGTCACAGCCTGAAGCAGTGTGGTTTGCATCTGAGTGTTCCCGGAGGCCAAGGTACTGAAGGGTCACAGCCCGAAGCAGTGTTAGATAGAGGTGGTGGACAATGGCAAGTCTGCCTGGGAGGTATTAGGTGACTGGGGGTCATGCCCTTGGGGGATATAAGAGACCCTGTACCTCCCTGTCTGTCAGGCATGCCCACTATGAACTACTGGGCTGCCACAGGCTCAAAGCAGCAGGGCCAGGTGACTCTAGACTGAAACTTCTGGGGACTCAAACTTTTTTTCTTAAGTTGATTATCTCGGGTATTTTGTTGAAGTGACAGAAAGCTACCACACTTATTAGGGCCTATCAGTACACACTAGGCCTGGATCAGTCCAGAAGAAACCATGGGACCCAAGCTGGTCCAATTAGAGAATTCCTAGGACTCCAGCTGGAAATCCTGATGGTTTTCTTCCATGCAGGGCTGGTAGAAGCCTGTGGGAGAAGTAGTTGGTAAGTGTATAGGAAGGAAGTAATAGCAAGACCTGGAATGGAGAGACAGGAAGAGCTGGGTCTTCAGGGACAGCAATGGGCCACTTGGTCCAGCCGTGTCTGAAGCTCAGTTTCTTCCCTCACTTTTGTTGAGATCTGTCATGGGTTGAAAAATATCTGCGCTGTATGTGTATGTCCTTATTTCAGGGACTTGTGAATGCTACATCATTTTGTTTTTGTGTTTTCTTTTCTTTTTTCTTTTGAGACAAGGTTTCTCTGTGTAGCTGTCCTGGCACTCGTTCTGGAGACCAGGCTGGCCTCAAACTCAGAGATCCGCCTGCCTCTGCCTCCCCAGTGCTGGGATTAAAGGCGAGTGCCACCACCACCTGGCAAATGTTAATACTTCAAAGTGTATGTTGAGGGCTGGAGAGGTGGTTTAGGGGTTAAGTGCACTGGCTGGGACCTGGGTTTGGTCCCCATAGGGTGACTCACAACCATCTATAACTACAATTTCAAGGAATCTGTTGCCCTCTTCTGGCCTTGCCAGGTATTGTACGAAGGCAAAACACCTATACACACAAAATAAAGCATACACCTTTAATCCCAGTACTGGGGAGGCAGAGGCAGGTTGATATTTGAGTTCAAGGCCAGCTTGGTCTTCAGAGTGAGTTCCAGGACAGCCAGAGCTACACACACACACACACACACACACACACACACACACACACAAAACCCTGCTTCAAAAAACAAAACAAAAAATAAATAAATTAAATAAATCTCTAAAAAAATGCTTCTAAACAGAAGAACATGGAAAAAGTGTGACGGTAGATGGTTTTGCCAAGACTGTGGTAGTGTGATGGTCTAGGAGGACTCCAGATGAAGACAGAGGTTCACAACAGGAGGCGGACGAGGACATCAGTGGAACACGGGGATATGACATACTGGAATACAGCTGCAAGGGCAGTTCACTGGCAACCACCAGGCACACAGAGGCAAAGAGCAGTTCTCTCCGGAGACCCTGATGGCGCCCAGCATGACCTTCACCTGGAGCTCAGCCCAGGAAGCTGATTTTACAGCCTGAGCTCTGAGCTTCGGTGCACCTTCCACCCCACTCCCCACCCCCGCCCCTGTGGGTGGTGCTTTCTTAGCACAAGTCCCAAGAGGCAACTACAAAAACTCATGGAGTCACTTTAATATTCACGCCTGCTTGGATCTGACACTTTGCCACTTGGAGGGGAAGCACCAGGTTGACACACAGCCCCTCTGCCCTCAAGGCACCTGGGGACCAGTGTGAGTGAGAACAGCCAGCACCCTCATGTTAGGCGGAGCTCTCCAGGCAGAGAAGGCAGTGCAAAGGCCCTAGGGTCAGACGTCAAAGCAGAGGCAGCCAGGGCGTATTTACAGAACTGTTACCCAGCGCCTGCAGAGAAGCCCCCAGACACACAGAAGCCCACAGCACAGGAGCAGACCCAGCTGGGTGCCAGGGGAGCATCAGGCAGGCGGGTCCCCCAGCTTGCTGCTAGCATTGGTGACCCTCTTGTTCTCTCGGAGGTTTCGAAGTCGAGCGCTGAGGCTGCTGATCTCCTCCACGTGGGCCTGCGGTACCCACCCCTTCTCACCATCAGCGAGGCGCACACCCTCCAGCCAGCCTAGGAACACAGCAGTCAGTATCAGTGGCATGGAAGGGATGCCGGCCTGGGGCCAGGTGACATTACCATAGCATCACCAGCTCCCAGGAAGGACCCCATTTCCCACTCTCCCCCATTGCTCTCCATTCTCCAGTAGGAAGTTCTTCCTCTGGTATCACCAGATGCCCAAATGCTGTGGTTGGTCACCACTTGCATAACCTTCCCCTGTGACAGGTTGGTCACTGCCCCTCCTCCTCCTGCCCCTCAAAAGGGCTGTGGGGGAAGGCCTGGCTCTCACCATCACTGGTCCGGGTCTTCACTGCCAGGATGTCTGTCTTCTCCAGGGTCAACTCATCAGGCTGCAGGGCCTTGTAGGTCCTCACGCACTGGACCTGGGGGCGGTCTGAGAGCCAAGAGAGGGTCCAGGAGCCCCCAGGTCAGAGGTGGGAGGCAGCAGGGAGAAGACAATGGGGGAGGGGACCACAGTTGCTCCTCTGCCCATCCTGGGCATGCATCTCCCTAAGCTGAGGCTCTTGGCCAAGGGCGCTGACCTCCCCACCCACTGTGACACCATGCGTTGATCTCTAGACTGCCACACAAACCCCAGATGCCCAGTGCGTGTTCCTCGACAGTTCTCTGAGTGTCTAAAGTTCAAATCCAAAGACCTCTCAGGATCCTCAGGCTTCCCGTGCGGACCCTGCCCTCTGGCTCACCTCCCTTCTCCCAGCCCTTTTCCCTCCAGTCCCTGCCACATGGGGCTTCCTTCCATGGTCCCTTGTGTCTCAGGGCCTTCTGCCAGGAGGCCCTCTCCACCCCTCAGGGCCATTTCCCAGCGGCCTCTGTCTGGAGTAGGGGGCTTGTCCTCAGCCTCAGTGGGACTCTGAGGCCATGACAGAGAGCTGTCCGGTTTCAGTTCTTTGTGACAGAGCAGATGGGCAGGGACAACGCAACAAGTTTGAGCTGGGAGTGCTGGCTCATCCTTGTCATACCAGTGCATAGGGAAACTGAGGCAGGAGGTTTGCTACAAATTCAAGGTTAGCCTGGGCTATACATCAACTGTCTCAGACAGGGAAGAAGGAAGGAAGGGGGACAGGGAGGGAGAGAGGGAGGGAAGGAGGGAGAGCGGGAGACCAGACCTGGCCCCATTCCCAGCTCTGCCAGCTGCTGGCTGTGTGACCTTGGGCAAATTACTTAACTTTTCTGAACCTCAGTTTTCAGAGGTGTGTGAAAAATGAAGACAGTGAATCTAGGTAATAGGATCACTGTGAGGATTAAATAAAATGTGTCTACTGCCCACTGCCAAGACCCTCACCATCTAGATGTAGCCTGGCTTGCCAGCCTCATATCACACCCAAGAGAGCTGCCTCCATCCCAACTGAACACCCGTCCACCCTGCTACCACCATCGTTCTACCCCTGCCCCCCACATACACTCTGTACACCCCAGGCCTGCCTGATACAGACGGTTGTGGGCTCCAGACCCAGCTCTGTCCAGCCCGGAGGACACTAACCCTCTGAATCTCTCTCTCAGAGTCTGCAAGACGGGCTGCCTACTCACATGGGGTGTGTCTATGCACCCTGCTGAGCCCTGAGTGGTCATCAGAGCCACCCTAGAGGGTTCTGAGTCCTACCTTCTCCATCACAGGTGACCTGCTTGTCCTCCTGGGGGCTGGCTGGTCGCAAGGCTGAGATCCACCGTTGCTTCTCACTTCTACGGAGAGGAAGACATGGTTGTAACAGGCAAGGTACAGTGGCCCAGAGCGGGATTGGGAACCCAGGCTGGGAGAGCCAGGGCTAGCGCCAGACTCCAGGCCTGTGCCCCACCCCTAGTGCTTCTGTATGTCAACTGTGGCCACCGTAGCCTCATGCCACCTCACTGATAGAGGGGCACAGTGGCTGGTGCCATCTGCCAGAATTTGGGCACTGCTCTGGCCATCCAGTCTTGCTCTGTGCCCCAGGGGTTCAGCGGGACCCTTGCTGAGGGTTTGGAGTGCTTACTCAGTTCGTGCTCTCAACAGCAGCTGGTGCCTGGCACGCTGCCCATGCAGCAGCCGGAGCAGGAATACGTGACCTGGGATGCCCTGCAGCTTCAGGCTCAGGTCTCGAACCTGCAGCTCAGCCATATTGGCATGGACGAAAACAGCAAACTTCCCGAGCCTGGAGGACAGACGACAACAGGGCAGGGAGGGTCGACAGAGCCCGGATCCTACCCTCAGAGCACCCCAGGACCAGGTGAGCCAATGGGAGGAGGAGGAAGGATCATTTGCTCTTCCAGGCCTGGCTTCACTGGCCATTTCCCAATAACCAGTAAGGCCCCCATCAGGGCATCCAAACAGAGCTCAGGGTGCTAAGGCAGGAGGATTGCTGTGAGTTCAACTGCCTGGATTTCTGCTGGCAGAAGGTAACAGAAGCCAGGCCCCCATCCCAGATACACTCTCAATTTTTTTTCTGTACCCTTCCCTGACTCCAGCTGGACTGCCATGTGGCCTGCACCAAGACAGCAGAAGCTGCTTCTCTGCCTGAAGTCAGAACCAGGTATTGCCAGGCCTGGAGGGTGGTGGTGGCGGGGCGGTGGGCTTGTTACCCTACACAGAATCAGGGCCCAGCTCTCCTCCTGCGACACCCCCACCCCCACGCACTAGAGGGAGCAGGACCCTCCTCTGCCTTCTGATTCCCGTGTCTGCCCCTCCTGAAGCACCTGCCACCTCTTGGCCATCTATGCTTACCTGCCTAAGAGCTTCTGGTCCCTCCCACCACTCCACCCTCCAAACCGGCCAGAAGCAGAGTGCTGCTCCTCTGCACACCCTACCCCTATCCTCAGAACAAGCCCAGCCTCTACGATGACTTCAACACCCCCACTCCCTTTTCTTGACTTCTCTTTGATTTGTTTGCTTATTTATTTAGAGACAGGCTCTCACGACAGAGTCCCTGTTGCCTGGAACTTGCTGTGTACAGGCTGCCCTCCATCTCTGTCTCTGCCGCCTGAGTGCCAGGACTAAAGGTGTGTGCCACCATCCTGGCATTCTAGTTTCTCCGCCAGTCAACAGCCTGACCTCTCCATCCCTCAGACACACTCTTCTGCCACAACCTTTTTTGTCTTTTCCAAACCACTTCTCAACACAAAACTCTTACTCTTCAAAACACAGCCCAGCCAGGCGGTGGTGGCACACGCTTTTAATTCCAGCACTCGGGAGGCAGAGGCAGCCAGATCTCTGTGAGTTTGAGACCAGCCTGGTCTACAAGAGCTAGTTCCAGGACAGCCTCCAAAGCCACAGAGAAACCCTATCTTGAACCGCGCCCGTTCCCCAAAACAAAAGAATCAAAATTCGGCCTAAGGGCTGGAGAGATGGTGCAGTGGTTAAGAGCACCTGTTGTTCTTTCGAGGAGATGGGTTCAGAACCCGACACCCACGTGGTAACTCACAACTGTCAGTAACTCCAGTTCTAGGGGATCTGATGCCCTCTTTTGGACTCTTTGGGCATTGCATAAACATGGTAGTACACAGACATACATGTAGGCAAAACACCCATACACATACAATAAATCTTAATTAAAAAAAAATAATCCCAGCACCTGGGAGGCAGAGGCAAGTGGATCTGAGTTTGAGGCCAGCCTGGTCTACAGAGTGAGTTCCAGGACAGCCTCCAAAGCTACACAGAGAAATCCTGTCTTGAAAAGAAAAGAAACAAAACAAAATAAAACAAAACAAAAGAAACAAAAAAACCAACCAAATAAGCCCCAATTTTCATCCCCTGGCAACTTTACTCATTCCACCTTAGCCCATCTTCCCATTAAAACCCAGACAGGGGCTGGAAGGATGGCTGGTCAGCTAAAATACCTATTGCTCCTGCCCACTTTTAGGTCCCAGAACCTACACCGCATGCTCACAGCCACCTGTAACTCCAGCTGCAGAGCAATTCTACGCCTTTAGCCTCTGAGGGCACCTCCACATATCATATCCACGGAGACATATAAATAAGACAAACAAAAACAACCAAATGGTAGCCCATGCTTGTAACCTCAACACTCAGGAGGAGGAGGCAGGCAGATCTGTGTGAGTTCAAGACAAACCTGGACAATGTAGGGGGTTTCAGACCAGTGTGGAATACAGAATGAGACCCCGTTTTATAAACAACAAACACACAGCCCAGGCGGGGTTTGGTAATACACACCTTTAATCTTAGTGTTTGGTAGGCAGATCGCTGTGAGTCCTAGGCAAGCCCACTCTACATAGTGAGTTCCAGGCCAGCCAAGAGTTTCTTAGTAAGACCCTGTCTCAAAACTAAAACGTTCAACAACAACAAACAAAACCACAGCAATACAGGGGCACTTGACTGACTGAACCAATAAGGAATAAACTTATCTATTGGCATGAGAGACCTTGGGGTGGCAAGATGGCTCAGTGGGTAAAGGCACTTGCTGCCAACCCTGGTGACCTGAGTTTGATCCCCAAGACCCACGTGACAGAAGAGAAATGACTCCTACTTGTCGGCCTCTGACCTCCATGTGTGCACCGTGGTGTCACATATACACACAAAAATAAAATTAAATAAAAAAAATTAAAAGATATCTGCCTTTTCACCCCCTCTCCAGTCTTATGTGCCCCCCCTGCCCCGCCCAACTCTTTCTCTTCATCCTGCTCACTAGAAAAATCATAGCTGTGGGGGAAGACCTAGCAGGACAGCCAGGTGGCCAGACACCTCCTGGCTCCTTTACTCACTAGCGCCCTGACCTTGAGACTGACAAGGGAATCTGCTTGCCAGGGAGGTGTCTTCTGAACAGACAGGAATAGTCCATGCAGCGTGCCAGCACAGGGAAGCTGCTGGGTGCTTGCCACTTACCTGGCAAGAGCTGGGTCTGGCTGTGTGTCTGTCACTGCCTTAGGGGGCTCAGAGCAGTGACAAGCCATCAGGATGCAGTCTACCCCTCAACTCTGCCTGAGAGATGGACCTGCCTCACTGCTCTTGCTACAGAGCCTCTGAGGCCCTGTGGTTCAGCCTGGCACCAATGGAGGCTCTGAGGCCCTGTGGTTCAGCCTGGCACCAATGGAGGCTCTGAAGCTCTAGGAGACAAGCCCTGCACTGGAGAATGAAGAATGGCGTCTCCGACCTCCCTGGCCTCTCCCTCGCACTCACTCTTTCCTCCGGGACAGTAGCAGACAGTCATTGAAGAGGTGAAGGTACACGGCCTTGCTGGACAGCTTCAGCTTGGCGGGTGGCGCAGCGGGCAAGGGGGCCAACTCCACCAGCTCCCCGTGCCGCACCAGCCAGCGGGCCTGTGAGATCAGTGGAAAGATCTAGAGAAAGAGGCAGACAATGGGGAAGGGGTGCTGGGTAAGTCCAGAGCAGGGAAGGGAGGCCATGGGCAGTGACTGCTGGACCCCTGCCCCCAGAGGAAGGAGGAAGCAAGGGCTGTCCCTTACCTTGCCCTCAAAGTGGATCTTCTTACTCAGGTGGATGAGCTCCTCAGTCCTCTTCATGGACTGCACGCTGGAGTTGCATTCCTGCACCAGCTGGGGATGGGGTGGGGAGTCATTTGGGCTCCCACCAGGGGAAGAGGAGCCCACAGCTCTGGCCCCTAAGCTTACCTCCTTGAGTGCACTGAAGGCTTTGGTGGCCATGTCCTCATCTTGGGAGCCCGGTGCCGTCCGCTTCAAGATGTTCTGGTGGGAGAGAGACATGTTCTTGAGGGCTGTAGTCACTAGTAAGGCACCCATGTTCCTGTAAATAACCCCTCATTTGAGTCCCTTAAGCTGCTCCACTGAAACTCATTGGGTCGCACAGGAAAAACAAGGGTAGAAGGAGGGGCCACCGGGAAGAGGAAGGAGACCAGTGGGAGGGGACACAGGGAAAAGGCGGTTGAGTATGGCCTATGTATGTATGGAATGTCACAATGGAACCTGTTATGCATAATTAATATATGCTAATAAAAAGGAAGACAAACTTGATAAAAGCCCAGCCGCCCCCTCCCCACCGTTCCTGAAGTGAGCTACCTCCACCAGCATCTTGAGGCGGGTGACCCTCTGGAAGGGTAGGATGAGGAAGGAGGTGAGAGGCAGCCGCTGGCACACAGGAGACTCTTCTAGGCGAGCCAGGATGCCAGGGAACTTGGGGTTCTCTAGGCTGGACAGTGGGCAGGAATGTGCTGTCACAGGTGGGTCTCTCGACACACCTGCCCCATGCAGTGGTCTCACTTATCCCAGGAATTTCTTCCCAGAAGCCCTCGCCTCCCCGCCGGAGCCTGCCTCACCCAGTCCTCTGCACCTACACCTGCCCAAGCCTCCCGACCCCCAGCCCCGCAGAGCCCCTCCTACAGCAGGCGCTGGTAGGTGCGCTCCTGGTAGGCCTGGTTGGTGACGTAGGGCAGGTAGACCCGGCGGAAGGCAGGGCAATGGTGCAGAACAACGTCGCACACGCTGAAGCGCAGCACGTCGGCCTCTAGACGTTGTTCCAGATCGTGAAGAAACCTGGCAGTGAGCCAAGGTCAGGGACGGCGCCACTCCAGACCTCCGTTCCCACTCTTAGCCAGGCCAGGTCACTCCCTCACCTCTCGCTGGTGCTCTTGACTTCGGGCAGTTTGGAAAATAGCCATTGCTTGTCCTGAGTCCCCAGACACTCGCTCAGCTCCACGGAGCCTAAGAAGTGACCCACGGCCACAGACAGGCTATGGATGTAGGAGGCCTCCGAGGTGATCAGCTCAAATTTGGCCTAAGGGAGGGTGGAGGCAGGGTGGTAAGAGCAAAGCCGCCCGGTATCAAGGTCTCAAATCTCCCTCTATAGACCGAATGAGGCCTCTATAGACACCAATTCCCTGTCCCTTCCCAGACCTAGGGATAATCTGGCGCCAGGTGGGCGCGCCCGAAGCTGCCGCTGACAAGCTCTGCTACTTATAAGTCTTTCCCAAGAGTGTGCGATGCCCATGGCGCGCTCTGCTACGCCCAGCATCCGCCTTTGGCCCCGCCCCAAACAGGGTGTGTCCTCTCCCTGACCCCGCCCCATGCTACCCCGCCCCGTTATTGACCCCGCCCTCTCCCCGGCTTCCCCTTAGGACTTCCAGGACCCTTACTTTCCCAGGTCTTCCCAGCTTCTCTCCACGTTGATAAAGCCTCACCTCTACTAAGTCCCTGAGCACATGCACCTGGCCCCGCCCCGTTTAGGCTCCGCCCCTCCCGATGCCTCTCCTACCTTCCCAGTCTTCTCCCTCACTCTCCGCTTTGACAGTCCCTGGGCCCAGCTGAGTCAACTGCTTCTGGCCCTGCCCTGTCATAGGCTCCTCCCTCCTCTGGGCTCCGAGTCTTTTCCCAGGACCTCCCACCCCTGTTACTCTTGGACAGCCCCTAACTCCCCGTGGGTCCCCATCTCCTGCCTCGAGCCCCGCCCTTCACCTCCTGCAGTTTGCAGTCGCGCAGGCTCAGCGTGGCCAGGACGCCGCTG